AACAAATCTGACATACTTAACGGAGCCTTTGAGTTTTGTGTTCTTTTCTATTTTTCTTACAAACGCCACCATTGCAAACGAATGTGGAATACCAAGCTAAAAAATATGAAATACAATAATAGAACATTCATAGCTTGTTTCAAGTGACAAAAAAATATTCAAAGGCTGTTAAGTTGAGCTTCTATTGACGGTTTCATCTCGAACTTTCTTCTGTATGCAAACTGTCCTTTAAGGAGTGGTCCAAGTGTAGTTGTATTGAAAGTAACACGGGATTGCTTTAATTTTGCTTCACTTCGCTCTGTGATTGGTCCAGATATCTTGCGTCACTCTCTCAACCAATCAGATGCAAAACTAAAACCAATCACGACTCGGTTGCCCGCGTTTCCCGTCTTTTAGGCTGTTTGGTTGTTTTTACTCTGAGTTTTCATTGGCTCTTAAAGGTATTTTTCCTTTCTTTTGATTGGTCGTTTTCATTACTTTTGTTTCACGATACTCAATCAGAAAGCACTCTAACAGTGTCTAAAATAAAAACCAGAAGGTCGCCAATGCGACAGAAATTGACTTTTGGCAACCAAAGTTTTGTAGCTACTTGTTGGCAGGCAGCTCACCTTAAGTCTTGCTTAAGTTCTTCTTGAAAACCAGCGCTCAAGAGGCAAAACACCCTTTGTTTTACTTTATTGCGCATTTAAACACTCAATAAAGATTTTCCATGAACAGAATATGTTTCAAACAATAAGAAAACGCATTTCAAAGTTTTCGTTTGAGGCGCAAATTGTTCAAATCCGAATTAGTGGTGACCAAATTGTTCCATCAAGCACGCCATTTAATCAACCTTTTAAACCCCGAGGGTGAACACTTGAACACTATGCAATCTCTCCTTACAGACATACTACCAAATCCTTCATTAAGATCATAAGAAAAAAGGAAATGATCACCAACCTAAGAAGCTTTGATTGTTAAACGAATTCTCTTTTTTAGCAACAAAGGAAATGTATAGAAAAAGTAGGGAGAACATGAATACTGATGTTAGGGTGTAAACGGTTAAAAAATATCGATTTTAAACCCTCCTTCATACCTGAATTGTAACCTGTGCTTTGGTGTCCTCAGATTCTGTTATGACGGTTGTATTCAGTGAAGATTGAAGACCTTCTCTATATGTTA